GTGAGGATTTGATAAACACAACGAAGCGATTGCTAGCACAGCCCATCCTGCAGCATAAAGACCAGGCAGACGGACGGTGTTGCCAACTCTGATAAGTTAACATACTCCAAATCACAAACTCTTGAGAAATTTCAATGACCTGAACACTGATGGCACGAACAAAATGAGCGGAAACTCACCGCTCACCTGTGCAGTTCGCACCACGGCATGGACACTTATACATATGTAAGCCAACATCCAACGTCTCCAAACGTTATTCATCCAGCCTTTTGTGGTTATCGATCTATCTGGAAGGAAATTACCCTTGTGACGGAAATGTCGGCAAAGTGCCACCCGATCACTAGACATCGAATGCTTACATTTACAGCAACTCACATTTTGTGAAGGTGCCTTGCAATAAATGCCGAGCTAAAATGGTTCGAGTGCTCAGGGACATGTATTTTACAAATACCCAAATTACATGATACGATGTATTTTACTCCAACGTAAAAAAGTTGGCCGAGATGCGATACTAGACGAGGACTCCTGAATCAAAATATTGAGACTGCTTTGTTTTGAAACTATCTATTTCAAAGCGCTTCCGTTTGTCTGATTCGTTTTGAAGCAAGTGATACGCAAGCTTCAAGTGGACTATATTCATCAGTACCAGTTTTTATTTGTGTTCGAGAATTTTCAGGAACATCCGTTCGTTCGCTAAAAGCAACGTGAATTTCATTGACCACATCCAACTGGTTAAAGCAAGATCTCAAGTGGGGTAGAAAATTTAAACATAATCCTGGAGTTTAAGGAATATCGAGAGGAGATGGAGAGGAGACCAGAAGCAAGTCTTCTCCCGCTCATGCCATCCAGTTTGTTCTGCAGTTTATTTTTCTTTTACCCTCCAGTTTGATAGCTCGCCTTCTCTCACCCCATTGGTGTTATTTATTTATTGATGAGGATAATTTGGAGATACGTCCGGTCGGCAGCTGTGATCCAGACTACTGACAAAGAAAGAGCAGTATAATAGTTCAAACAGAACCATCCAAGACTGTGATTCATCAGCGAAATGTGATCATTAAAGTGCTGGAACAGAATGGAAATAAATTTTGACCACAAGTTGTGGTAGAAACCAATCAGAAGCAGTACATATGAGTACACAGAATGGATTATCAGTGTCGCCTCACCTGTATTGGGACTCTACCACGTATTCGAATCCCGGGGCTAGCATTGCTTGAACTGCACTGGTTTGTCTCGTCCTCACCACGTTTCTTCGTTAATGATTTTTCATTTTCTTCTTGAAGACTGTTACCTTCTTTTACCATGTTTTGACGCTCGGGTGAATGATCGTAACCATTATGAAGACTGTATTTCCCGGAATCTTCCATGTCACTTAACCGAGCCTCATTTTCCTCATCATTCAGCTGCACATTTCGGACAGAGGCCTCTACATCGACGACGGGAGCTGAAGCATCGGCCTTTATGATCAAATCATCGGGCACCAGTTCGTCCAGACACCATCCGGAGTTTTGCAAGTAACTTAACAGTAAATTGTACGCATCGGTTGCTCCGAGTTCCTGTAACTCGTACAAACGTTTCTTCACCAGCCTCATTAGGTCTTCACTCGCCTGACCATGGTGTAACGCGCGTTCCCAGTACTGATCGTCCTCTTCATCACTCACACTACTTCCAGTGTTCAGTTCGTCCAATCCGGCCTTAGCTGGGTCCGTACCAGTCTTACCCAGAACGTAATGTCGCCACTGATCCAGCGCATCCTTTAGGGAGCGGTGGGTTGGGGTGGACAAGTTGGAAACAAGTTTTTCGCAATCATGCCATTGCACAGCATTAAATGTGACTGTCAATAAGAACAAAAAGGGAATGAGAAGTTCGAGTCCTAACGGTTCAGCTCTGGCTCCAAATGTGAGTGCTTGTGTGAAATTGATCACAGTGTCAAACGTTCAAGTGATTGCACACGTGTTGGGGTGGATGACTTGGGCTAGGGGAGATTAAGGGCTTGCAAGAATTTCTTCTGGGCGAAAAAGTGTGTGTGTGTGTGTATGTGTGAGTCAGAACATTTACGGCTTCAGCTAACATACAATGCTTCACTGTTCTTAATTGTCTACATCAAACCTTGTAAATCGGTCGGGACGCACTTGCCCCGAGCTTGTTAACCACACTGTTGTTCTCAATGTGTTCTTTGATAAAAAGAGTCTCAAGAGAACTGGAAGTAGAGCATTTGCAGTATTCAACTTTATATAGAATAGGATATAAGTTTGTTGTTGTTGTTGGTGGTGGTGGTGCCGATGGTATTTTGTGGATGTGAATCTCGGACGTATTAGTCACTTTCATTGGTTCATCACCTATTGTTAAGCGGTAGCTGTAAACCAATGAAATTTAGGTGGTGAAAACGCCTTTCGATGGATTGTATTCCAGACATATTTCTTGTTGATATTTATTCAGTAAAAGATTAGTTGTAAAGGTTAATTCGATTGCTAAACGATTATCTGAATTGGTGTTAGCGAATGCAGATCATGATAGGTGTAAAACAAATGATAATACAGCTTCTCTACAAATCGATTCAACAACATGAGTCTGCTGGTATTCAATAAATGCAGAACTAAGGTATCGTTAAAATTAGCGAGTGTCCTGTAGAAATCTCAAGGTAAGGGGTGCCTAAAAGGCCCGTTCTTCGTCGCCCATGTTCCCTCCTAATGTTTCATTGTCAGCCACATATCAGCTAATTTAAAAACGGACCACAATCAACTTTAACAGATAAAAACAATTAGAACGAATTCATATAGAGGAATCTAAGGGCTCTCCTTATGGATGGTCAAAAAATTTCAGTCATATTCATTTATATAAGCGCACATATTTTTAATTAACCTGGCACTTTCGAAACCAAGGGCAATCAGTAGTTAAAATAACACAAAACAGTCATGATGAATCCAAATACCTGAGTAGCTTTTAAGTGATCAGGCGATCCACCTATGGTGAATAGGTAATGTTTTCCTCTTATTTCGTCAGTAAAGTTGATACTACTCATTAGTAGTTAAAACCAAATTCTTAAAGTAAGCGTGATATCACGGCAATCGATTATGTACTTACCTGGGCCCGGAGGATTTCACCAGATATGAGCGAGATCACCTCCCAAGCGTGGGTAATGTCAGCCGGAGCACACGCTTCCCGACACACACAGAAGCGAATGAAATAGACATCCTTAACCACGGCCGGAACGACATGCAGTTCAAGGCTCTCGTTTAAAGCACGTGTCAAATACTGGTTCAGTGTGTTGGAACCCTAAAAGGAAACGAAAGAAAACACGTGATTGTATTTTAGTATTATTATTATTACGGATAAANAAATGTTCATTAAAGCTATATGTATACCGTGGTTCTATCGTATCGGGCTAATCAGATTGGGGGGGTGGGGGGACGTTTCACTGATTAAACATTGAATAGTTAACAGTTTGTGACCCCAGACTCGACCAGCAATGTTCCTACCATTTTTCCCTGCTAAACTACTAGTTTACCACTTATTAACTATTCGATACGTATATAACACTTTTTACTCTCAAAGAAAATTCAATCAGATATAGAGCTTTGGTTGCGGCAAAAGGTTTATTTTTTAGCTCTATTTTTAAATAGTCAATTTCCCAATTGTCATTGTCAATGTGCATGACGATGAAATTGCTGAGTCAAGCATATTCTCTCCATATTTTTTTTAATTTTCCTTTAAAAGAAGTTTGCCTTCTCTCTAATGCACCATTGGAATGATTATTCATAACTTTGACAATTAGTCGTGTGGGATAGAAAAGTTTATACATTGAAGTTAAATTTGACAAGGTTAAAGTAAAGTTCAGTCATCAACCGGAAGTGATCGAACAGTTTGTCTTCCATAATTTGAATTTATATTCCAGACTCAGTTTCGTGCGACACACAATGACTGCAGTGGATTGTGTTGGCTTCAATATTACGACGGTCATTTCAAATTTTGAAGGATGTTCTTCAAAACACATTTTAAGTTTCGATCGATTTTATATAATTGCCCAAATAGTCGACATTTTTTTGTTCGCAGATGACCAGCAGGCTCTGTTCGATTTTTTAACTATCGAAACAGTTAAGTATTTTGTGAAAGCAGTTAACAGTAATTTTGTCTTGTTGGAGACTCGTCCACAGTGCGTACAATATCTACCGTCGTTTTATCGCGTACGTTAAAGTTGGAACAGTTCGCACGCAGCAAAGTTACCCACCAGACGGAGAAAAGAATCTGACTCACTTTGAATGGGATTCTGAATATTATACATGACGCTCTACACCGGAGGGCAAAGTGTTCTGTGGTTCACTTTTGGGAATTTTTTTCGATTACTGTTTTGTGATCTAATAAATTAAGTCGATCTTGGTGTATAGCGAATGGAGTGGAGATATTAGTCACGATAATCCCCCTGATTGATGCATCGTAAGTTTTCTCATCAATTGTTGTCAGGGTTGTTTTAGTAAACGGAGTAGTATCAAATGGTTTGACATCGTCGGCATTCGTAGAGGGACAATTTGTGGCCTACAGATTAAAGCCAACGAGCAGCTTCGAAGAAAAGATGTCTGAAAAAGCCTAAGGGATGTTGTCGAGAATAGCTTCTAGTGGAAATACATTTACCCGGAAGTTAAAAAGTTTCTTTTATCTGAGTTGTAGCGTCAGCTAAGATAGAAAGTACCGCAAGTTACTCTGTATTTCAAATACAAGTATTGATCACACTTGTGAAACACCGTGCACTCATCACATCCCAACGCTTAGTGTTTTAAGACTTATTCATCGAACGCAACATATCTGTAATGATATCCACGTTTTTTGTTATTTCCATTAGTCGGATGTCATTAAAATGCGTGATTTCTCGATTTCGACGACAATTGCTGGTGCATTCGGTGTAAAATAACAAAGTGTCAGCAAAAAAAGATCATTGGAATTTATGGTAAAAATAACTCCTAAGCATGTGACAGCCATTGTACTTTCACTTTATCAATATAATGAGATAATCGGAGTAAATTGGTTGACGTCCACTCAGATGCAACGTAGAATTCGGTGTGCAAAGCAAGCTTGACTTGGATGGACGAAAGGGCGAATCATGTTTGGTGGACAGTTTTTTACTGGGATGATTTATGGAAAGAGGAACGAATTCAAAGTATGCCCAAATGAAGAATGATATTCGGTTATACAAGGTGGGAGGGAGTAGGTTGTTTCCTATACTATACCTCTTTCAATTTAGGATATCCGAATATCAATGTAATATATCATGTTGCTATGTGAATAGTACGATAGTGCAATTGCTCTATCGTTTGAAAACCTTTATTACCGAAAATCGAAAACGATCGAGGAGGTAAAATAATGCTAAAGTATTTCAACTGGTACTGTTCTGAAGCTGAAAGAAAACTATCTTCGCGGGATCTTGCTATGCAACCAACAGAATGGAAAACATAGTGAAAAACGTTTATGAAATAAATATGTATTTCCGATTATACTTGTTCGCCCGTCCGGAATTCCATCTCCGACGTAATTAGCACGATCGTTCAACGCGAAAAAATCCAGTTGATAAAATTCCAAGAAGAGTTTTGCGTTGACCTATATTAGTGGTTATCGTACACCGTAATTAAAACAAGTTCAAAGTTTTATTATGATCACCCATTTACCGAATCGGTTTAGAAAAATAGTGCGTGCATCTTAGAAGAGTCAAACATTGGCCCAGCGTCATCATCGCTCGAACCTTTTCCATTCCGAATTTCTCACATAACGCATCGTTCCAAAACTGATTCTCCTATGTTGATTCTTTATCACCACTCCAGCAGCATCGGATTCAGAACTTCTTCCTTCTCTTATGCCTGCTCGAAAATAACACGACCGATTGGGTTCATTTATCGGTCGGTCGGATAGTTCAGCCGCAATAAAGGACCTAGTGCTTGCCCACTTAACCCGAACGAGAAACCACACCTTGTCTACAATCACGATTATTTAGCAGGCCCAGTGAACGTCGACTGTACAGGACAATCTGAACCGATGGCGCACTCGCACCATCGTATCATTCACATATCAACACGACATCTTAAATTGATATTTGGACATGTTAAATGGAAAAGTTCATAGATGTTAAGACACTCTACAAACAGTTGCGCATGTTTGAGCAAGACAATGTGCCCACCGACATCACACAAGTCAGTTTATTTTGACGAAATATTCAAATGCTTGATCAGAAACCCCGATTAGAATGAAGTGTAGTATGCTTGAGGAATCAATACAAGCCGAAGATTCAGCGAACATAAGTCGTTCCAAACAAAGGACTAACTAGGAAACGTCATTCTCGAAGAATGGACGGAAATAGAATTAGCCCTTCCGGAGGTTTGAACCGATAGTATCTCAAGACGTTACACTTTTGTGTATTTCAAACAAACAACAGAGTTTCGAATAAGCTCGTTTTCAGATATTCCTACTGATGCCAAAACATGCCCATATATTTAGAGTATCAAGCTTGGGTTAGCCCATTCAATCGTACAGAGGCACCAGGCACTATTGATGTTCTTGGGTGTAGGTTTCACTCCTTGATAGATCGTTAATTCCCTACAATTTCATGCATTTATATGCGATAGAAAGGTTTGTGACAATCAACAAGGAGCACTGGACAGCTGTTTCGTCCTGTTTGTGACTCGTCAGCAGTGCGTACTCCTTGTGTCCCTGTCAGGACTCGAAACGCGAACACTTCTATCACATGTAAATGCATGAAATTGTAGGGAATTAACAATCTATCAAGGAATGACACCCACACCCATGATCGAATGGACTAATCCAAGCTTGATACTCTAAATTGATTGAGCCATTCGCACAAGGTGATGACCGTCGACCGTGTAGCTCAGGGGTATGGGTTTGAAGTCCCGACCCGAATGTTCGCGATTCGAGTCCTGACAGGGACACAAAAACTACGCACTGCTGACGAGTCCCAAACAGGACGAAACACCTATCCAGTGCTCTTGGTTAGTTATCAGAAACATTTCTATCGCATACTAAGATATCACCAGACAGTCTTATTTCCAAGTTGTGATATACGTTGAGATTTATTGGCATGATTGCGAATCTCTGAACACGCGTTTGGTTGCCAGTCGATTATTTTGTTTTGTTTAGGAGTGTGCTCTATTTCGAGATTGTTTGTATATAAAAGTAACGGTCAGTATATTTTATGATATGATGATATACTAACTATCCATTTATACTAATCTTAAGAGTATTACTCACAAATTTCAGAGGTTTATGACCAATATGAACTGTGTCAAGTCCATTTCTTATACTAACTGAGTGAGTAAGTGTGTCACATTACAAGTGTTCACACTTTCGGAGTTCTATGTGAAACGGTAGCGGAGATAAACAGCAAATAGTTGCGAAAAAACGAGTGGCCTCAAAATTGTTTCGCGCACTGTATATATTGGAAACAACGTATCATATTTGAAACATATCAAATCTAAGTTGATTCAAGTATGAGGCATCAGACATCAAGCATGAAGGAGAAGGATGCGGGGAACTGGCCATTAAAAGGCCATAGTTCGAGCAGTTTTTGGAGTATGTAATTTTAATATTGACCATTGAAGCCCTCATACTTACTCAAGATGAAATTATTTCAGTTGTGTGCCACCGGGCTTAAGCTCAATCCCCGTAAATTATCAAGATACCTTTTTAAATTCGAACGAAGCCGTTATAAATTCAGTCGTTGCTTGTTTGTTTGAATCCACTCTGGCCATAATTGAATCCGACAATAGTGAGCTATTGTCAACTCAACAAAGTGCTGCACTCGTGGACCGCAACATTTCACCGACTGGACCAGGTTTCCAACACAGTCCATCTAGTCGGTATGATGAAGTTACTGACCCCGAATATAAGGTAGACAATTTCCGGTGAGTTACCGAGCGAGGCTGAAGGTTTTGTTGGAATAAGTTGTGATTGTTCGTCTCCCCGGAAAGCTATGCCCTTGAATGCTGTTTGGGTGAGTTTCGGACGAGAGGGCACGAGACCGGCGGTCATTGACCGCGGTCGGTTCGGGTAAAACATCCTGTCTTGTCAATATGGATTGATAAAACAGCCACTAAGCTCCGGTGTAAATGCTGGTGGATTGATTTGAATATACAGTTATATCTTTCTCAAGATTCGCCCAATTGCAAAACAAAAGACTTCTTGATCCCTTTTTTGGGTATGGGTTTGTAGGTAATCGATAGGTGGGTTAAATCAGCAAACAAGCTAATGTGAGCATAATTACCAGATTACGTAGTCAACGGTATCACCTCATATGATCGGATATAAACACCGAACTGACCTTCAAGCGAAAACAAACCAATCCCATTATGGGTTTTCCAATCAATTCAAATCGATCATCGGACTGTATGTATTCGGTGAATTGTTGGGCCAGTTTGACGTGCTGTGAAGAGAGAGAGTCAAATGGGAAAACATGTGACACTCAATTGAGATTAAGCTATCAATTCTTGTTTTATTTCTAACAGTCTCTGGAACAAAACAAACAATGGTGATTTTTCCCCGGACATAAACTTCTATTTCACTATATCACTTTGAAAATAGAAACCAGTTTAGCAATATTGCACGATTTATGTCCTGGACAATTTCGCTGCATCTCAACTTGTGCCTACTGAAGACAAATACAATGTTGATATAGGGTTTGGGAATGGATTACGAAATAAGCACTTGCAAATGGGGGAAGCGTCACCAAGGAAAAGCTACGGTAATGAACAAGTCTTTTTGTTGACACAAAATTGGTTTCCATCGCTTGATTGCAATCGCCTCGGCGATCTTGAATATTCTGTTGTTATCGTTAGCAAAAATCACTCGAAATGCTTTCTCGAGATCCACGAGGTGTTGCATCATCATTAAGTGCTTGGCTATCGATGAGCTTGGTGGTTTGTAAGCACGGACCGTACCAGTTACCCGTTGTGAGGACTTTGCCATGGCAACCTTGCGTTGAGCCCAGTTCGGAATGTGTTCTAAAACCCGATTACGTAATTTCTTTTCTGTTCTGTCTATGTAAATGTCCCCTCACCAAAACTGGAACTGATAGATTACTTTGAGTTGACTTACAGAGGTGGGTGTTCTTTAACCGAGGGGGGGGGGCAGATATACTCTCTGTCCTGTGCACAATAGTGGGTGTGGCTGCGTAATAAGCCCGGCTGACAACCGATCATAACCGTTAATGGGTTAGATTAGTTCCATGATCACCGTTGAATGGAAGACAAATCGTGATATCCAATCTAGACGCAGACGCAACAACAGGCTTTTCAACCTTCAATCTACTGGGTTTGTCAAAAAAACTCCTCTGGATAACCATGTCTTGTTAACGTGCGACGCAACAAACTGATCTTGTTTGTTTTCGTGTCATCAGTGCAAATTCGACGGGCTCTATCGAGCAGGGTATGGTATGCACAAAACCACGTTTATATGCAATTGGCACAAAGCTTCAAAATAGCATATACTGCCCTGTCCAAGTTGTTTTGCGACAGACCGATCGCGACATAGTTCCATCTGGCTTTCGGGTGATATTTATGTCACGGAAACGCCAGGCTATTGCTCTGTTCAGTTTTCATGCTGAATCATATGTTCAGATGTAGTCGATTCAGGCCTTTGAGGATGGGCTTGGCCTGTTTCACATTGCCTGTGATAATGAGAATAATAATAATAATAACAACAACAACACAAACAATCGTTATTTTGCCCCGGTATCAGCATACCAGTCTCTCACCCAGTCTGACTACATTTTGTGTTTGCGGATGTTAACATGGATGAATGAAGTGACAACTCATACTGTATATGTTCCGACAACTACGCACATAGCAATCGCCTTCAAACAGGTGGGTGAATCTCTTCATTCCACCCACAGGACATATGGAAAGATGACACAGTTTAGTTGAATGTATAGACTGGGAGGGTATGGCTCAAATGAGCCAGAATGTAAGAGGTTGTTATAATGAGTAGATTAAAAGTGGCTGATACGAAAGAATTATAAAGTTATGAACTTAATAACCCCCCCCCCCTCGGTCTGCAAAAGTATTCAACTTAAGCCGCTTTTAAAAGTGGACCGATGTCCCGATTGATCTCGGATCGATTAGATCTCCATGAGCACTCAGCGATGCCAGTAAAGTTCATCATAGTAAATGAAACAAAAAATAAAGACGCTAAGTAAACCGTGCCCCAGATATCATGGATAACATAAAATAAAAGTTTACAATGGAACTTAGCTTTACTTTATCAATCAGTGTAATTATGCGAGGAATGAGATGAATTTAAGACACTACACAATCGGTCATCCTCGACAAATTTGGAGAGGGAGAGTGTGGTAACATGTGGGACACCACCACAATCCCAGCAGAAATAAGTAGAGTGAGATAGCGGAGTCCCAGAGATGAAGTGGCTATGTTGGCCCGGTGGTAACGTCACCAAATTATCACTTCGATGGAAGTGGGTACGAAACCCATCACCACCATCACCACCACCAACACCGCTTAACTTTCCCCATTCGTGTGTTGTGTGGCATCCCTTTCATTGGTCGCCTCCCCCTACCTGAAAATTGTATCACAATGGAATCAATCAAGGAAAGTAAAAATGAAAAAGAAAAGAAGAGAAAGACAAAGGAACGATTTATTCATTGCTGCAGTGTGAATTTCGCTTATCCCTGAAGGCTAACTGCCACCATCAGACTGCTAATCAATGAAGATCAACTGACCACCGTTTACGAAAATTGGATCGTCTGATTCGTCAGACCTTTGCGCGATTCTCGTTTACCTGATCAGGAGACTGGTTCACATAGGTCCTGTTAGGCTCCCTGGCTAGGGACCCAGAGATCATGATCACCGATGGTTAGAGACACTGAGCGATATGGCTGGGTGTCGCAAACAGTGGCGCTCATGCATCTACTCGTTATTCTTGTAACTTCAGTCTATGAAAATGTGCTATCTTCTGCTTAAATCTGCTCTCAACACTATAATCATAATTCTGCTGTTCTATCCAAATGTGCAACCAAAACCGGCGCACGAAAGTGCATGGTTAATGATTGTAAGAACTGAACTGAACTGATTCATAGTACTGACATAGTGTCATTTCCTCACTAGATCTGTCTCAGTTCCACGGAATGAGATTAATTTCACCCCTTAAAAATAAAGCTGATTTACATGGAAAAGGCTTTAAAGTGAACCAGTAATCGATATCCACTGTCACCGATGTACTTTTAGTCCTGCGGTCCGAGGTTCGAGCCCCACCACCACCACCACCACCACCACCACCCAAATTTGTTGTTAGGCCGCTTTGCTGTCATCCGAATCAACACCACGCCTAACCTATTGGAGCCTGTGTGATTCGCCACTCCAGACCCCCGGGTTTAGGTTGCCGGTCTGCACTACTGACCAGCAGATCCTCGTGACTATGGAGGTTGACCCAGATTGAATGTGTTTCACATCCATGCTAGTGTGTTTTGTACCACAGAGAGAGGGAGGAAGTGCGGCCAGTTTACCGTAGGAACTTCAATGTGGGAAGTTAAGAATCAATCGAATCATCCAAACAAACATTGTGTGCATGTTGGTCAGTGCACACAGAAACTCACCCGGCGAATGTACTCCCGAATACCGTTGGCTCCGTAAATGCGCAGCACAAACCACAACTTCAAGGCACGAAAGCGACGACTGAGCGGGATTCCCCAGTGCTGTGCAGTCGAGACGGTGGGAGTGAAGGTTACAAAAATTAATTTCTTCCTTCCGTAAACAAGAGCTTCGTTGCTTGAGTAGACAATCACTTGCTGCATAACAGTAAAGGCTGCGAGTTAAGTGATTCTGTGTATATCTTCATCTATTCATCGGTTTTATTAGAGATGCAAACCATACTGTCAATCCTTATCTATCCAACTACTGCCAATATTCCAGACCCAGTTCAATTTCATTTGCATGACGTTCCATCCATTCGGATTAGTATTTATCGCAATTCTTTGGACAGAATGAAACTTTTATTGAATATAAAAGTGGATTATTATTATTATTATTGCATGAGTCTTTTTAAAAGTGTTGTCTCTCCCTCACTTCGATGGAGCCAGTTATGATAGCAAATATGCATACAATCTTGTGGTAAGTGGTTCTTCTTGCGATGCAGTTTCGCGTGGGGCTCTATCTTAACGAATCGCACGGTATGGAACGACCCATTTATTTCAATCTTGTTGTATATCGTGGGCAAAGCTAATGGAACAATCCCATTTGGGATCAAACTGTCGACCCCACCGGGACGTATTATGCAGGATTCATGTAGATGTGCAAAGCTCGTGAATACTCGACTTGTTCCAGAGCACAAACATGCTAAAGTTTCGTTTCATCAGGTTCATGTGGACCAATACCCTAAACTTTGATCAGAACAAACCTAAATAGTCTGACAGGTAGATTTTCTACTAACACACGCCCCCTCCCATCATCCTTCTCTAAAAACTCTCCTTTATGATACCTTGATCTGACAGAATTTCAAGTACGACTGAGTGGTGATCGGGTGGGCCTGAGTCGATCCACACAGCTTACTTCCTAGATGCTTCACTAAATTTCACGTATTTCCTTCCCATCTGGTTGTCTGGAGCATTGGCATCTGTTCTCTTTGTCCTTTGGGGTAACATCAGGATAGTCGCTATCCTAATACTAATTTTCTGTATCTAGGTTTCCAACATTTGTTTCTTAGGCGACCATCTCCAATGAGTTCCAAACAGTTCTACTGGTGTATGTGAATGAGCTCATGTTACCAATCCACGGATTAAAGCATGTTGCAGGAAACTGAGAAATATCCTAAATGGACGCATGACCATTGTGCAGCGGGAAATCATGGCTAGATCGCACATTCAATAAACTGATTGAAATATAGAATGAGATGAACTCTTTGTGTAATACCGGACAATCCCTCGCTAAGCATTGTGAACTCTGTGGTGAACAATGGAGGGTGGTTGGGTGGTTGGAGGAAGGTCAAATACTGATGAATTTAGCGCTGGTCTGATAATTAATTCTGACAAGCAGAAAGGCCTTGAACAGAATCATCGAACTTTTTTTGCTCAATGTGTAACTCTCTAGGTCGGGTCCCGTCGGTCCGGTCCCGTGTCGATTGAAAATATTCCTACCCTTGAACCCTGATAGCGTGTAATTGTGTTCAGTGAAAATAAGAACTACAAAGGTTGAGCAACTGTGGACAAATTTTCCGAGTAAAATGAACTAGTTCGAGAGCTATTGTACGTAGTTGAAATCAAAATAGGTGGCTGTATTCAATGCTAGTTTACATCAAAAACAAGGGAACGCATGATACGATTTTGACAAACAGCCAGGGGAATTGGCAACGCCAAGAAATGAGAAGTACTCACTCGAAAATCCACGGCTTTGCCTAAGCAGAAGAAAAACGTGATGTTATGAATTTGAGACCGCAAAACCATAAAATCAAAAGCAGTAAATAAATAAACGATCACATAACTAATTCATGCAAGCAACAGATATTTTACTCGGAATCTGCCTAACTAGATGTTTCTTCGTAATTCTCTGTATGTTAATGAGGGACCGGAATTGGCAGTGCACAGCCTGATATAGCCGCACCCAAGGACAGGTACTCAAACATGTTTCGGAACTCCGTTTGTGTTGGGGCTGAACACTGAGCTCACGAACAGAAGGGGTCAACCGATTGGTTCAGAAAACATTTGCATATGAAACACAAACACACCCACACCCGCACACATCCACTCCTTTCCAGTGTTCTCATTCTTTTGGAACACTGGGTACTTTACCGCGGCTCGGGGGAATTTTTGTAGCGGACCGCGGACAACGGATCGCAGAATGGCTGGATTTTAGACATTCCCATCGAGAATGGTGTTCTTCTCGCTATCACGAGCATGTTTGTTCAAGCGAGCTGGAGCAGACTAGTGCAATGCAAGTCAAGACATGGGTGAGGGCTTTACCAGTCTCGGAAACTGACAGTGCTGCGGGAAGGGAAAAGACATGCAGTTCCAGCCAGGTGACGGATAAAAAAGAACCGAGCGAGAAGAAAGATAAATCGATTGTTACGCATAAGTTTATGCCTCAGATTGACAATAACGTGCATGTATTTGTGTGCGTGTGTGTACACTTAACTATATATATACAGAACTACTGAACAGCTCGTCTAACTGGTCATATGAAGGCGCATGTGCGATATTTACCAGTGAACTATTCGTCCACAGTTTGTCATGCAAACAATGATTTATATATATATATATATCACAGTTTTCGATTGAGGAAACTTAATACATTCATTCAAGCGCATATAAACAAAAGTCGGCTCGGCTATTTTAGTCCACCCTCTCCCCCCCCCCTCTTTCGGGAGAGGGGGGGAGGGATACAGGAGAATAGTGGCGCTTGCGGTAAATCATACACAACTCAGAAATTTGACGACTCAAATAACAATATTTCTTTAGTTGAGAGTAAAAGAGAAAGGATAGGATTGAGAGACTGAATAATATCAGGGTGAATGATGATATTGACTTTGGATATATTTTGATTTCTCACAGCAATATGATGGAAGCTTATAAATAAAGATTTGGCGGGGTAGGGGTGGGATATTGACACCTTTGGTTGTGACGTCTAGCAGAATAGAGTGAGGTCAGGGGAGCTAGAAGATTGAAGGAGTCACTATTTGAATTATAGCATCTGAATAATGCATCACTCGCAGAAATACATGTAAGGAGTTTGCAACTCTGACAAACACCGAAAATAGTTGGTAAGGAAGACTTTATCTGCATTAGCGAATAGTTTACTAGATTCTATTGGGGTATAGACTTCGGTTCACCAGATGCCAAATGATTCGTCCGTGATCGAGCGATCCGAACACGCACGGGTAATACAGGAATGCCAAAAGAACTGTGCTAATGTTTTTTTCACGTGACAATGCCAAGTTGCGAACGTATGAAATGACACTACTCGTGGATACTGATTTTCTCATCTTATCTTATGGTTCCAAAGTCGTAGCATGTAGCTTAATTTAGAGCTTTTCAATAGGTGCAGACTGCATGGGAATCGATTCGCATTGTTGACTGGGTATCCATTCTGGTTGTCCAGACCGATACTGTCCACAATCGGATCAATATTGTATTGGCGTTCGTATCCTTCTTCGAACCTACTCCGGTAGCAAACATGGTGGGCACATCTGATTTCGGACAACTTTGGATAAATCCTGTTATGTACTGGTTACCGCTACATGAAGCCGTTTCCCACTGGAAGCCAAATCTTTCACAGACTCAAGATTGCGGTTTACCTGGACAGGCTATTTTTGGTCGACAGACATTGGCTTGTTTTGCATTCCGATCTGCTCGTGTAGTATTTGACGTATCTTTAGCTCTCCAAACTTTGTGGTAGCGATCAATTCTCAAACCTATTTATTGATTCAAAATAGTTTTCCGGCAGATTGACCCTAATATTTGTTATTAAACTCCTCACACAGTTGCCTAATTTTTTATCTTCTTTGATATCCAAGGGGCCGGGATAGATGAGAGGCTCACAATACTATAGATACCTAATCATATTCGAAAAACTTTATTGTGGACATAGCGCCATCTGGACGGCCACAACCCATCCACAACTCAGTACATGGCCAAAAGGAACCCATATTGACCACACGCTCGCACACACATACACAGACTGATAGAATTACGTGTCAGGTATACAAAATTCGAAAAAAAAACACGGAATCGGTTCCCTTAGACGTCAGACTTTCGCAGAATAACTCAAGACCAGCGCAAAACGTTAATCGTTGCAGCTGAGCTCGAATTTATTAGGGTTAGATATTCTATTTATATATATATATATATATATATATATATATATGTATAATCGAACAGGGTATTTGAGCAAATCATTCCGTGACAAATAAACTGGAATTGTGAATCCCGGACTTACTTGAATGTTTGTGTTGAAGATAGACTGGGTTGACCACCATAGAGCTGGTCAGTATCCGGTGATCACGAACCCTGCACGGTGAATGCAAACAAAACAAGAGGGCAAGATAAATTGGAGATGATGAAGCAACAGTGTCAGTGGACGAAAAGAGAATCATTATTGTAAGCTGCCACCAGGTCATTCCGGAAAAAAAAAACAATGAACAATGTATTAGAAGGATTGTGCACTGGAATAATTCTGGAAAGTTCTTGTTGTATTGTCGATGTGACGTCACCGACACTAGACACTGTGTTCTCATGCGACAGTTGGCCGATTTCCCGCATGATAGTGGTTGGGGCTAAACCTAATTTTCCTCTTACAATCGCCTCAATCGACAGACATATTATCTAGCTTGCTCGTAAGAGATCACGATCCATAGGGTAAATAAATCTTGAACAGAAAAGCTTGTTTGTGAATTATATCGTATCATTATGGGGATCTGATGGGCGAAATAAAAGTGAACTTCGCTTTCGCGTGCCTATCGGGTTTGCTACCGGGGGGAGGGATGGGTGGGTGGGTGAATGGTTTCTTGTTGTTTGGCTCAATTTCATCAGAGTAAAGTGCCTTTGAACTAAAGTTGCAGTTTCTACTCAGTAGTTTGTTTGTAAACTATTGAATCAAACGCTAGCAACCAGATAATTGATATCCAGTAACAGTAATGCATGTGTGAATGTGATGGAATTTGTTGTATGATGTTCAATAAAGGATACTGGACAATGCACGGATCATAGCTTCTAAGAAAATATTTAATGATTATCAACAATTAACCTTGTCTTAGAAGCTCATTCGGTAAAGTTCAGTGAATTCTAAAGAAAACCTGTCGGGGCAG